ATCTGAAAGCCACTTATATTCATTAATAACCTTCGGAGCTTGTCCTACAGTTCATAACAATTATGAGGAAAAATAATAAATTAGGGATTATAACTGAACTGCCATCCTTAAAAAAATAGCTGAACATTTTTTCAAAATAATACTGAATTTTAAAATAAGTATTAAAAGAATTATTTCATTATGATATTTTAATTTTTTTACTAACATTTTTATTTTTAACTGTAAAAATTGTTTTTCCAATACTACAGTGTTGTGCGTTGTCGTTTACTTGGTGCCCCTGCCTTTCTAGTGCCCTGGGCAAGTGCCCAGTTCGCCCCACCCTTAAGCCTTATAACCCACCCGCCCCTGATACGAATAGGACTTGTATTATTAAGAAGCGAGTCTTTTCCTTTCCCAAAGTAGGCTTCTGCCCTGGCTGATGTAGCAACATCATAAGGATTACCGAAATACTCAGTCAGATTATTTCAGTCCACGTTAAGAATTCTGTACATAAAACAAATAATCTCTCAGCGAAACCTGGCAAATATAAAGGATTTTTATTTTAACCATAGTCAGTATGGTCTACTTTTTCAAGTTTAATTTGATGTTCAGCTCGCTCCTTTAGATTAATAATGTAAATCCAAGTTATACTTTTATTTTTTTTTTATAGACTTCGGGTTATCTACGTCGTCTGCACTGCAAGTTTTTTCTGGAGTTTCTGTGGATGTAGACAGGCTTGTATTGAGTTCAAAAGTTTTTACTTTTTCAACTACATAATCATAAGATATTTAAAAACATTCTGTTTTGTATTCTCATGAAGAAATTATCAAAAAACTTGTGAAGAGCTTATCAAAATCCTTGAGCTTTTTCACTGTAGACATCAATCCAACACTTTTTTTGTAAAAGTCTTTTACCCTAAATACAGTTGTATTCAAGAAACATGACCAATTTGGGACGACGTGAACTGAATGCGCTATATCAGTTCGAAGCTGAGTGTGCAGTCTTTGAACATTTGATTCCATCAGGCAGTGAAGTAAGCATACATCATCATATTCAGAAAAAGACATTTGATTAAAAGAAAGACATACAGAATTTTGAAGAGCTTTTCCCATATCTATAACAATTAATTTGGTACCTTAGATCCAGCTTTTTGCCATTCATTTAACCAAAACAGATGAAAATTTGTATCGTTATCCTCGGATACAACTTGACAAATTGGAGCTATCTTAGAATTTATGTTAGTACTGAGGACAGTTAAATACAGATCACAACTTTCACTTTCATACCTAGGGATCTAAAAAGAAATAGAGCTGGTGGAGGCGAGAGCTAATGGATTACACACTTTTTTCTCTATTTTATTGTAAAGAAATACTTGCTCCTTTGAAAAATAGACTATGTAAAAGGGATCAAACCCAACATTTCTAAAATATTTGTTACATTGCACTTCAGCTTAAAGATTCTCTAATGATTTAAAAATGGTAGACCTTGGCTTAATACCAAGAATTTCATTTGCATTCTCTTGATTAGCTTTTCTGAGAGATGGTAAGCTGGGAATAAGGGAAGACTCGGGATCACCATACTTCAATTCTGAACTTATCATGTCTCTCTGACTTGTTCAGGCTTTTTAAACGTTGATTCTTATTTTATTTCAGCTCTTCTTTTACCAGTCAAATGTCTTTTTTTCATGAGGTGTATCCATACTTTTTTTAGTTTTGACTAAAAATCTCGCATCTGCTTCCTCCTCTGGTTTTTCAGTGCAAGTAATTTGAATAGATTCACTACATTCCGAACAAGATCCAACTATCAGTAAGTAATGTTCCCAGTGCCCCACTGAATGCCTTTTAAAACTATATGCACACGGTAATTTTGTTTCTCGATAAATTTCTGTACATAAATTGTCAGTCCATCCTTGCTGAAGAACTTCATATTCTTTACCATTATCTAAAATCTTTACAATAGGCTTTAATCCAGACCAAAAATCGTTCTTTATTGTTGTATAAAATTGTAGATTATATTTGTTTTTTTTTCTCTTCATTTGGTTTCTTTTCTTTGCCATCGCCTGACTCACAGATTTCTTCTGACGGATTAAAATTGTAAGTATCTTCTTCACGTGAACCGTGTGCAGTTTTTATCACCTGTGTACACCAGTGTTGGGATATAGTTCCGGCCAGACTTGGGAATTCTCGAGGACCCAACCTGTAGCGCCGCAGGCCTCTGCGCCAAAGAGCCAAAACCAGCGGAAGCAGCAGCTCGCCCCGCGCGAGATTTTTGNACCGTGCCAGATTCCTGCTCGACTCTGATGTAGACCGCCGTCGCCAAGGCTCTTCTGCTGGCGTCGGCAAAGGCGTGCAGTTGGATCGAACTGGCCGGGGACGATTGAAGCCATCGAGTAAGGGTGAGTAGGGAGACGTCAGACAGCTTGGAGCGAAATGACTCCCATCGCTTAGCGTAAGATGCCGGCAGTGGCTCATCCCATGTTAGCTTCGCCCTCCAAAGGTCTTGGATAAGCATTTTGGCCACGACAATAATGGGTGACAGCCAGCCAGCAGGGTCGAAAAGCCGAGCCGCTTCAGCCAGGACACGACGCTTTGTCAGTGTATCGCTCTTGTTGAATGCAGGGGGGGGGGAAACCGAAAGCAATCAGCACTCGGATCCCAAGCAATTCCCAACTCATTCACTGGACCATCCGTGGTGAAGTGAAGCCAACTCGGTCGCAGCAAATCTTCGACTTTCAAATCGTGCAAGAGAGATGGCGTGTTTGAGACCCACTTCTTGAGTACGAAGCCGCCCGCCTTCAGAAGTTGAACCAGTTGATCTCTGCGCTTTCTGGCCGTGTCTTCGTCGTCTGCGCCGGTCAAGAAGTCGTCGACATAAAGATTTCGGCGGACAGCGTCAACTGCTTCAGGAAAGGCTGCTCCTTCGTCCTCGCACAGTTGCGTTAGAGTCTTCAACGCTAAATAAGGTGCGCTAGCCTCTCCGTAGGTGACTGTAAGCAAGACGTAGTGAGTCTCCGGCTCATTTTCACCTTGACTCCAGATGACTCGTTGTAAATGCACGTCCTCCTTTCGGATTTGTATCTGACGGAACATCATCTTGATGTCTGCACAGAAGGCTACTCGATAAAGTCTCCACTGAGTGAGGACACTGACAATGTCATCTTGTAATTTGGGCCCTGGATAGAGAGCGTCGTTCAGACTGTATCCCGTTGAGGTGGGGCTCGAGGCGTTAAATACAACGCGAAGGCGCCGCCCGCCGTCACTGCGCTGCCAGATGGCGTGATGAGGTATATAGTTAACCCTTTGAGGGCAGTTCTCCATCTCCTGCTCCGACACTGGACGCATGTGGCCTAATCGGATGTATTCGCTCATGAATGCCACGTAGTGCTCTTGAAGGTCAGGATCCATTATCATTCTCCTCTGTGCAGCGCGTAAGGCTGCTCTAGCCTGGTTCAAGCCGTCTCCGAGTAGATCGATATAGTCTTCTTTGACAGGGAGAGGGACGACATATCTGCCACTGCTGTCTCTCGAGTGGTGCTGAGCGTAACAGGCTTCGCACTTGGCATCAGCCGGAGAGACTCGAATTATACTTGGTATTTCTTCGACCGCCCAATACTGCTGCATTAGTCCCACGAGGCACTCACTCCAGAGTCCCGTGTCCTGCAGCATTGCTAGGCTTGATGTGGTAAGAGCCGGGGGATCGCCTTGAGCTCCGGTGATCGTCCAACCAAATATCGTTCGTTGAGCGATGAAGCTCCCTCGGCTGACGAGGCCGGAACGAAGAATTCGGCCATACACGTCTGCCCCAAGGACCAAGTCGACTGGTCTGGGTGACGAAAAGTCTGGGTCGGCCAGTTTGAGTCCATGGAACAACGCGTCGGCATTGAAGTTGAGCTTCCTGGAGGGAGTAATCAGACCAAAATGCTGCAGCACGTGGGCGTTAACTTGAAAGACCATTTGCCCATCGGAAAGGCTTAGCTTCGTGCACGCCAATGAGGAGCTCATGACACCGCCCGAGATTCCAACAACCCCGATCGAAGAGTTCCTTAAGCCGTCACCGTACTTTCGAGCTAGTCGTAAGGTGGTAAGAGTCGACTCTGAACAAGGATCGAGAAGGGCTCGAGCTCTTCCGAAACATCCAGTGCTACCACCCACGCTGATGATTGCCGTTGGTAGAAGGCCTAGTCAGAATGATTCGGAGCCATTCGAGGGACCCTCGCTGGGTTGTGTGTCCAGCTTAGGGAATTTCGGAGGCCTATTGGAATCGGTGGAGGAGTTTGTTCGCTTTTCGGAGGCATCATGAAGGGACGTGTGATGTTGTGCCCCGCAGGCCTGACATGACATCGGAGAAGGGCAGTTGCCCGTGGAGTGGCCCTCTCGCAAACAGTTGTAGCACAATCGATTTTTGGTGGCTAGTCCATGCCGATCATTTGGTGACATTCATTTATAGGTGGTGCAGCGCCCAACGTAGTGAGGTTCCTTGCACGCAGCGCAGCGCGCTGAGCCAGCTGTAGTCGCGGCCACTACGCGGGTTGGACGAGCAAACGGGCTTGACTTCGGATCGCCCCTGGAAGTCGCAGCAGTCGATCTTGGTGCGTCTTTTGGCGCTAGAGACGAAAGAGTTCTGCAGCGACGTCGGAGGAAATCGGCCAGGTTCTTGAAAGTAGGGTAGAAGTTTCCACTACCACTGGAGCCCTTGTCGGACACTTCCAGCTCTTCTTCCCAATCTCGCCGAGTGGCTGTATCCATGGCGTCGGAAGCAAGAGAGATGAACCAATCATCCCACGAGTCAACGGGGCGAGCCAACGTTCGCAGTTGGTCGCGGTGTCTCTCCAGATCATNGTCATTAGGTGATTGGCGCTTGTGTTATTTGAAAAAATAACATATTTAAAAGAGTGGCCAGTAAGCGCCCCGGGTCATTGGGTGATAGGCGCTTGTGTTATTCAAAATTATTTATTTAACAGAGTGGCCAGTAAGCACCCCGGGTCATTGGCTGATAGATGCTTATTTTATTGGAGCTCATTTGAATTTCGCGCGTCACCTTCGGTACTATTTTTATTTTTGATCTACTGATTTCCCACGTCAGAGAGGTTGGGTCCTAGAGACTTCCCAAATCTGGCCTGAACACTTGTATTCCTTTTTTAGTGTAAGCCATGATTGTTTTTGGCAACTTTGAAATGTAAATTAACAAGTTTGATGACGTCACTTAATGTGCTACTAATACTTTTCAATACTTCATCGCTTTTTCCTTTGAGTTGATCATTATTAAAAACATCAAAATTCACCAATTCATCGAAAATATGCTCAATAGAAAGCGCAGGCTTTGGATATCACTTTGCCATAATCGACAAAGTAATAACTCGTCTTTTATAAAATTAAAACATGAAAACCATTTTTTATTAGTCCTTGGCTATATTAATAAAAAAAACTCGTTATAGTCATAGTTTTAATGTACAAGTACAACACGGTAACTCAATTGATAACAAAGACTGTTCTTATTGGTTGTACATATACATAAAACTTTAAGCTTCCATAAAAAAAACAAAGTTTCGTCAAGTAAATTTTTTTCGGGTAAGTTTCAAGTTTAGACAGACAGAAAGGCAGGGGGTTTTAAGAGAGTTGCGACATCTATCGCTACAAACTCGAGAGTCAATATTGCTTGTTTGATTATTGACAGTCAAAGTTCACGCACAGTCACACCGCAGTGTCCGCAATATCCGAAATTTTTTTTTTATATTTCATTCTGGTGAAGAGTTATAAGGTAATTAAAGTAGTGTCTATGATTAGTTTTATAAAACAGTAGAACCTTTGACTAAAGAATAGTGTACACAAAAGTTGTATAGCTGAATGTCATTTAAGGCAAAATTAAAATTTATTTCCTACTTGAAAATCAATCGCCGATCTATTGTTTTAAGGTCAAATTTTAAATAGAAGAAAAATTTGAATCTTACCGCAAACAACTTTTAACTACACACCTTTTTATATTATATCTATTTGTCTATGTCACGGCTGGTTTACAAAACCAACTACAAGGCACTACTTTAATTACCACATAACTTTTTTTACAAAAATAAAATATAACTAAAAAACTTTAAATCTCTACGAATCATCAGGTATCTTAATGCTGGTAAAAGTTGCGGTTAGTTTAGATTTTTAAACACCCTCGGGTCCAGGCTCTCTTGGTTTAGTACAGAACAACGTAACGGACTTAATTCATATCATGTGACATTGCCGTCTGCTGCTTCTGGAGTGCATGCATGTTAATGATGTATTCGCTCCGTCATCAGGTTGGAGGGGCAGTGTTGGGTAAGGAGGATATGATTTTGCATTTTTATCACTAGGACCTATACATAGCTACAGATCCTAGTGAGAAAAATGCAAAAGCTGAATAGGAGGGGGGAGGAGGCCAGTGGTTCTCCCCAAATGTGACTGGCAAACTTGTGGGAAATTCAAATTGGCAGTGTGGTGCAAACAAATACCCAGATAACTCGACACAATTACGTGCACAATAACTTAATAAACTAATCCCAAGCTATTTAACCAAATAACCCAATGGGCCAATAAGCAGCCTCATGAGTTTAAATAAATAATAAAATTTATTAATTAACAAAGCAAGCGCCAATCCCCACACGACCCAAGGCACTTACTGGTTGCTTTAAGTATTTATGATGAATAAAATAATACCGCAAGCGCCTATCCCCACACAACCAGGGG